GTAGTAGTTGTTGTTGTTGTTGTACTACATGCTCAGCAAAAAAACGATGGCAGGATGCGCGGGCAGCATTCACGCCCCAACACGTTGGGGAGCTGAAGGTGGATCTTCTTTAAATAAGACACCACACAGCAATTCAAAGTAAAAGAAAGAGCCCTGGTCCTGAACAACTGATAATTTGAAGTCATGCTTTCTGCAAGGATTCTCCAACTGACATCCTTGCAGCTCAGGGACGAATTCAAGGCAAGGCCAATCTTGAAAGCCAAGGCGTAGCGATTCAACGCCAAGGCCTGCACTGGGATCCTCCTTAACAACATCATAGGTTAGTTTGGATATACACATATATGTTGAATAACTTAACAACATACAGAGGGGTAGATAGATTGCGGCTTTAGGGCTTCTTAGAAGAGGTTTAGGGCTTGGCGTTTGAGAGTTTCTCATAAAGGGGAGCTCAAGGGTGATGCATGGAGATTACATGATCATTCTGATTCACTCCCCTGTAGTTGGTGCAGAGATGTGCAAAGTCATCCTGAAGACTGGAGGTCTGTAGCTTTCACATTGTACTGCCCACCTACTAGCTCACTATCGCCGTGACACCCTACTGCATTCACACACGCTCCTCTCTTCACGCACCAGCACTCGTACGTTCCAACATGAGACGCTTCAACTGCTCCGTCTCGCTCCGCAAAACGCTGCTCTTCAAATTCATGATAATCTTGTCACGGTTCCTCTGCATTGTATCTGTTGTGGGTTGCCTAGGCAGGATACCCTTGATGTCTTGCTGGCATCCACTGTGAATCTGGATGGCAGAGACTGCGGACTGCGAGAGCCGTTACGAGTGGTCTGAACTGGCCCTTTCTTCTGGAAACAGCGAGTCCCGCTAAAACTCAACTGCGGCCTGAAGGAAGCAACCTCTTTGCCGCTCGAACGTATCCACGACGTGAGTCTGGCTGCTCATGTCGTGCCTGCCATGCCCAGGTTCGTCGGCGATTGAAGGGAGGGCTCAGTCACTAACTTGGTGCAAAGGATGAGGGTTTGCCACGCGAGAATGAAAACATATGAGAAGATACTCCTAACACTCGTCCTTGGGGCCTCCACGGGAACTAAATCTTGAAATTCAAACCGGGGTAGTAAATACTCCGCTAGCAGGGTCAAGGAAAACGGCCTGTGGAGCCCCGCTGCCACTCCGCAAGACCTATGTACGTCAGTAGACATACTACGTGGTCAAGTAGCTCGAAACATCTGTACCGCCGATGTAGCCCCGGTATGCAGCAGCTGCAGCGGCAGCAGCAGCGATGATACATCTCAAATCCACGGCCCAAGCCGGCTTTAGCGCCGGCACATTGATGTTTCATTCCGTACACATCATGTGAGACATCATGATATTTACGATGTGGTACGAGTAACGCTCGGCGTAATGGTAGTAATCCCCTGGCTGGTATTACTCAACACTGCATCTGACTTGTAGAGCCAGAGTAGTTTCGGAGTAAATACATATGCCAAGCTGCGGTTTGTGCTTCACTTGCTGACCCTGCGACCTGCCGTTCTGATCTGCAGCTAAAGGTGCCCTTCCTGACATTACGCAGGGAACAACAAGAATTTTTGAAATACCAGCCTTTCTGAAAATAATGTGACAAGTGCTATCTTCAACCATTTCGCAGCTGTCAGCAGTCGCACTGCAGAGAACCCTGAGAACAACTTGCTGGGCGGGCGAGTGCAGCCGCAAATGAGAAAGGGTACCGCTGCTCTGCTGGCAGACCACAGTGCCATCCTCGGGAGCAAAGCTACAAAGCAATCAGGATTCCGGAAGCAAAGGCGGGTTCCACATTACGCTGGCCAAGTCTTCTGCTTGCAATACTCTCACAACACTCTAGACTCTAGACTCGAACACTTTGCTGACTTTTACCGACAGCTTGCAATTGGCCAAGTCGCAGAAACCAGAACGCCAATCTGACCATGCTGCAGCGGAGTTGGCGCAGCCTCGGCGAATGTGATGTTTTCAGATTTGTCATTCGACTCTGTGGGGCTTGCCGCAAACCGCGCAAACTGTATGCGACAGAGAAAGTTCTATACACCATTCCTTCTCAGTTCTCGCCAGAAGCATCCGAACCAATGGACCAATTTGCTGCTGACGAGCCTGAATTTGAAGCTGCGAATCTGTTGCCAGATCCAATTGGCCCAGGCAGCGAACACCGCTACCGCCTACCTGCGAGATTGCCATCAGCGTTGTCAAAGATCAGTCTAAGAGCTTATGTTTAGAACTTCCG